TATATTCAAAATTATTTAAGAAAGTAGATCCATCTTTCCAAACTGCTTTTTGCTATCGCAAAAACATTCAGAAGTCAATCCTTGAACTCATTTTGGTGAGATAACTATTTCACTGTTTTCAGCCATTGCTAACTGCAAACACCTTCTTCTGGAGATCTGCACCTATGCCAGATTTTATCAACTCAGATGGAGGAAAGAAAGTTCATTATGAGTTGCAATCTAAATGGTTATGAAGAGTGTAGAATACGGAAGTCTAAATTTAGAAAAAAAAACAACTCAACACTCAAGCCAAAATTAACCTCTACAAAAACCAACAGCTCTCTCTCACCTGGAATCTTCTTGTAGAAAGGGCAGTGCTTTTTTCTTGTTTCTTCACCTGCAGTAGATAATACTTTAAATTTTTTATTCCACCTTTGCTGGCCACCAGAACTTACACCTGCAAAGGCTCCATTTGTTGTTGAACTTCCAGTAACTGTTTCTACATCTTCCACAGACCCTTCAGCTTTCCTTTTTGCCTGTCTAGGCCTCTTTCCATTGGGAGTTACTGAAATTGGTATCTGCTTTCCCTCACTCAAACACATTTCTTCTTTGCTTTCCTCTTTTACTTTGGGTTTTAACCCAAAAAAAACACCAATGTCCATTTGTTTGAGTTCTTTGGCAGGACTGGATTTGGCATTTGTACTTGCTAAAGAAAGAGATGTTACTGTTTTAGAATTGGGGCTAGGAAAGCACACAGCAGCTGTATTAAAGTTTCTTTCCTTCTTCACTACTGACTGCAAACTCTCCTGGCAAGAGGTTTTTTCAACTGCATTGGAAGGCATTTTATCTGCATTAGTTAAAATGTTACTTGACTCCCTCAAAGCATTACTCTTCTGAGTCAGAAGAGACCTAGCACCTTCTCTGGCTAGCAGTGGCGACGTTTCAGTAAAACTCAGGTATGCAGAATCCAAAGCACAAGTACCAGTATCTTCTGACTCTGTATCACCTGATTTAGCAGCAGAGGAAATCAATTCAGGCTCTTCAGACTCCTCCCAGTTAAAAGGAGAAGAGGATCCACTGGCTAGTGCCTCTTGCTGATTCTGATTATCTACACATGTTGAATTACAAAACTTCCTGTTCTTGTGACTCTGAGAAACAGTTTTTACACCATGATCTAGATGGTCCAATGGCTTAACTTCCTCACAGTGTTTGTTTTTAATTACAGAATGTCTTGGTTTGGTATGCTCATACTGAGGCTTCTGCTGTAAGAGAAGTCCATCAAATGTTTTAAACATCATAGAATTACAGTCTTCATCTTCAGAGTTACAATCTCTGAATAATTTCTTTTGTGATATTTTCACCTTCTCTTCCTCAGTTTCCTCTTCACTTTCCTCAAAAGTGCTCAGTGGAGAATAAGAAATTTCACATTCACTGAAGTCTGCTTTTGATTGTAGTAAACTGAGCTGACTTGTGTCTTTCTCACTACACAGATCCTCTCCTGTTCCACTTTCCTGAGCGGATACAAAGTCATAAAATTCAAAATCACAACTATTATCTGTTGTCTCTGTATGCTGAAATGGCTCTTGAGGGGTCTGAACACGTGCAAAAGAGGAAGTACTTTCACTGATTAAATTTAGAGACTTTATTTGTGGTGAACTCTGAACCCTCAACGTACAGTCATCATTTGGGGTATTTTTCATGTTCTTAGACGGTTTCTCACTCTGTGAGATTTGCTCTACTTGACCTGGGGAGCAGCTGAGCTTTGGAGCAGCAGAACATGTCATCTTCCTCTCCAAAGTGTCTGACAAAGAGTTTACAAGATAATCTCCGGCCCTGCTTGCTGCAAGTAGAAAATGGCTGTAACGCTTGTAGTGAGATGGAATGGTGGAATTGCACAGTAAACCATCAGGACACTCTACGAAAAGAGTTACACAGAGAAGTAATTTTAGTATCTTTGCAACTATAGTTGGCATAATTATTAAAATTAAAAATCACATGAGACAATTTTAAAGCTGATTCTTATAAATGCAGCTATAGGAGAACAGAATGCACAAGTAATGACCTCCTGCCCTGAGCTGGGTAGAAGGGAGAATGCTTCCAACCTAAAACCAAACAGCTGCTGTTAATACAGCACTATGCCTGAATTAATACAGCCCTCTAACAATATGAATACCTAACCCTGTTTCAATATTGTGCTAATGTAATCATATGGCTTCTAGTTTTGAATTGTCCCATATGCAAGCAATAAGCTCAGAGTAGTAGCACCAGAAAAGGCCAGTAGACATGTTTCAAAATAAACCAAATCTTGGTCCTGAGTCAGCCTGAAATTCAATTTCAAATTGCCTGCTGGTTCACACATTAAAGAAAAAAAAAAAGCTCATGGTTTTACTTCAGTGAAAAAAGTATTCAGCAAAATATCTGTCGCTATTCCCTAGGCCTTTTTTGTTGAGAGTTTGCTGGCCTATTGTGAGAGGATTTTAAGGTGAATATGTCAGTCAATCAGAGGGATTTTACATCTGTTAATTATGGGAGTAAGAGATGGAAAAGAGGTGTTAACCATCTGCCTTATCTTAAACTGCTGCCAAAATCAGGATTAAAGTTCTCACACTGAAGTGAATTTAAGTTCTCTTCATTCTTGAAGAAACTTCAATGAAACTTACGAAGATATAAAAAGCAAGGTGATTCTGTTACCTAAAAGAGCCCTTACTCAAGTTTCCAGGCTGGATGCTGTTTCAAAAGCTACAAGGTTGCTAAGAACATAGAATCATATAAATCAACCAGGTTGGAAAAGACCTTTAAGATCATTAACTCCAACCATTTACTCCAGAGACTACCAACACCACTACTTAACCATATCATTGAGGGCCTCATCTACACTTAAATTGGATACCTGTATCTGTTTGGACCTGGTATTTCCCCACAGGAAACTAGCAACTGGAATGCATCAGTTTTATTCCTCTTGAACAGAACTCAGAACAAAATTGTGTTGTCATATGATACAGGAATGATCATGTATAATTCTGTACAAAATTTCTAAAATATACTAAAATATATATTTTAGCAATATACTGGTAAATAGACCAGTAAATTAGCATAACAGACAGGTTTCAGCTTCCAACCATCCATACACAACTGGACAAATTATACAGCAACATGGATAGAGGATATTAAGATTTATACCTAAAAAGAAAGAAATTCACAGGCAGAAGTAGAACCCTCTTAACTGAAGGAGAGGTTTTGCTGGCACTGACTTAGTAATTGAAATGGTATGCACCTTCAATTTCTTACATAAACTATTCAAACCTGAGCTTGCTGAACAACCATCTTTGTCACTACTCTACAGAGATTAGGTTATGATGTGAGATATTCATGTCTGACTTCCATGTTCTTCACAAACAACAGAGAATCTCATGCAAAAAAAGTACTGATAAATGATCAGTAACAACATTCTGAACACCATACCAACAACCCTCTCAGACTTTGAACTAAATACACAAACGCAAGTTTTACAGCAACATTACGTGAGAAGCCTTTTAACTTTTCCCTGAAGCTTTTTTCTTACTCTGTGCATACCTTTTTCATTGGATCCTGGAGTATCCAAACACTCAGCAACGTGCCATCGAGGTGTCTGGACCAATAGCAAAGAAAAAGGCATCTGGCAGCTTGGGCAGTATCCATCATAAACAGGCTTTGCATTTTGTGAGCTGTGGTCCGTGAGGCTGCTCGTGCTTTCCTGGGAGTGCACACTACTGTCATCTTTACATGGATCTGCATCCTCATTTGGCCTTGATACCTGCTCGGTCTTCTGAAGGGTATCAGTTTTTTCTACAGTCTTTTTTCTTTTTCTATTTGTTTTCCTTTTTGGCCTGCACTTGCCATCACTTACTGTCTGCACAGGTGTAGAGATGCTTTCGGCATTACTCGGATGCTTTTCCTTCCTAATGGATTTGTACTCCCAAATGTCTGCTTCCAGTGAGGTATCATCAGACATGGCAACACAGGAATTATTTTCCTTTCTTTTAAGCAACAGTTCACAAATGTACCATTCCCTCCACTAATATGTTTTCTCTTCTGTCCCCTCTTCACTATCTTAAGAAAAGCACCTAAATTCATTTTGAAAATGGAACAAACCACACAGCAGTCCGTGATGGGACTGAAGCATGGCGAATCCTAAAAATCATTTAATGAGCGTCTCTTTGAGTACTTGAAATTACTCCTTTTAAACAGAAGCTTAAATAAGATACAGCACGATTCGCAGGGTGAGCCATTTTCCTCAGCGTCCCCCACGTAAGCGCCCAGCCAGGCCCGGCCCTAGGAAGGTGAAGCCCCTCCAGACCCGCTCCCTGAGTGCCACCTCGCTCCCCGAAGAGGGGTGATTTTAAACGGAAACGACGAAGCGTTCAGCTGCAGGATCACTGTCGGGAGTCACAGGACGGAGAAGGCCAACACCGCCTGCCGGTCGGGCTGCTCTCCCCTCCTGCACTGAGGTCCCACCGCGAGTGGCTGCCGCCTGCCCGGAGTCTCCCGTGGGTACCTAGGGCAGCTGCCGCCTCCCGCCGCCTCCCCTCAGCTTCCCGCCGCTACCGGGATCGCGGGCGGCCGCACCTCCTCAACCCTTCCCGCCGCGGCAACACATTCGCTTCCGCAGCTTCGTCACGGGTACTGTCGCTCAGCCTTCCTCATATTTCATAATAACCTCCCTCTAAAAAAAAAAATCCCACAGTTTAAATTATTGGTGCCTTGCTTGGAATTTGTCGCGATATTCCTCGATCTTCATAGCTATTCCACTTACAAATAAAAAAAGGAACAGGGAGGGAAAAGCGGGCTGTGTGGAATCTGCGGAGCTGGAATCACCGCTGGGGATTCTCTTCACGAATATGCTTCTGTGAACATCAAAGCTATGTAAGAACACGCCATGAATGAGAAGGTCCCACTTTAATAAACGAGGTATTGCTTGTTTGTGCTTAGGTTTTATTATTGTATTATTATTATTATTATTATTTACAACTTCCGTCTCTGGCTTTGAGAGACGTGACGAATATGCGGCGGTGAAATAGCAGGCTGGTAAACAGCGACCGGTCTGGGCTCGCCCAGAAGCTGTCATGGCGGCGGAGGGGCTGGCGGGGCTTTTGCCCGCCCAGACCCAACTGGAGTACGCCCTGCTGGACGCCGACACTTCCCAGGAGAAGGAAAACTTGGTCTACCAGTACCTGAAGAAGATGGACAGCCGGGAGCGGGACCTGACGGTGCCCGAGCTCGGCGGAGGTGGGTGGCAGGGCAGGCCCCGCGGCGGAGCGCGGTTCGGCTGCAGGGCCCCTCAGCAGAGGTGGCTGAGTTCTGGTGCTCACCGTGTGGCCGTTTTCTGTCAAGTCCCGCTGCTTGTGAGGGCCGTTTAATTACGGCCCCGTTAGCCACTTTGTTGGTTTTTTTTTTTTTTTTTTTAAGGCACTTCTGGTTACAGGAAATGTCACTCCTGAAAGCACCAGGAGCAGAGGACGAGAAAAAAGAATCCCTTTATACATGCTCCCCCTGTTACTGTTTGCAAAAACCTGTTCTTTAAAGTCTCTCTTCTAAACCTCTGCTAGTTTTGTTAATTTACATTCCTTTTTCTTTTTTAATAAAGCCTTCTGGACAGTATGTTGATATCTGTCTTCTCTGGTCATAGCAAGAACCTTATCAACTCTCACAGCCTTATCTCGAGTTCCCTTGGTCTCACTGCAGCCAGTTGGGTTTCCCAGCTCTCTCTCCCCATGACTTACCTGTGCTTGTCAGGTTTTGTGTCCCTGTTAACACAAACTGTTCTTGAGATGTCATCCTTCACAGTTGTGCCCATTTCCCTTTCACACATTTCTGTATCTTTTCTTCTGCTAAATATGAAATCAGAGGTTAAGTCTTGTAAGATCTTGCAAGTCCTGCTCAGGTTCTTTTAACCTCAGTGAGGCTCTCTGCAGCTCTGCTCACATCTGTCTGCAAAGCATAGATCTCAGAGGGTAAGCTTGTGTCATGGGAACAAATTCTGACTTGTAAACATTAGAGCAAAATGAATGCTTTCTGTCTAGATTTGGACCTCCGGGTTGAATTTTCACTTTTGTATTTTGCACTGTTTCACTTTCTGTGTTCTGCCAAAGCTTATTTTCTCCTCTGAAAAGAGCTCACATAGGTAGTCGATGCTTTTTACTTTCAGTATATTTCATGAAAGGTATTTTAATTTTAGTGAAAAGAGGAACAATGCCAGAAAATAAATACCCCACTCTTTTAAAATGTAAGCAGCAGAACCCTAATACCGTGGAAGTAATGCATATAATTGCTAATTGTTACAGCCACTAAATCTGAAAGTGTGTGCATCCGTTTCTGTTTATAAACATACGGAGATAGAGCTCAATCCTCCTCCTAGTGAAACTGAAAACAAGCCTCCTGCTGGCTTCATCAGCAATAACCTCTCCTGGGACAGTAAGAACTTCATGTGCTGAAACTGTCAGAGTGAAAGTTTTGAGGGTTTTTAGATTAGCCAGCATACATTTTTTTTAAATAGGCCTTCAGAAATTTAGTTCAGCTTTGGCTTACATCACATCTGTCTTTCCCTATGCCCTTTATTTTCAGAAGTGTTAAGTGATAAAAATGGCAGACTGTATTACAGGATATTTATTTCTTTGGTTGAGATCAGTTTCTAATGCGATCAGAGTAATAGCAGTTACCTGTGAGAAAAGAATGGTTTCATGCTTCAGATCAAGTGGTTAAAATAAATGATCCAGATTGCTGCCAGGTGTATCTGAAAAGGCTGTATTTCTTCCCATGTAAAGGGATTCATTTATACCTGTCACCTCAGACTTTGAAAATCAAGATCAAAACTGTAACCACAAAAATATTTCAGTCATCTCTTTCTGGAGTCCTTTACAAACATGTTGGAAAATAACTAAGAGTTTAACAGTTCTTCAGTTTACTACCATTTATGTGGGTTTTAAATAATTGTTACCCATATGACATTATTAGGGGTTAAATAAAATAGATCATGTTTTTAAATATATAAAAATGGTTCTGAGGCTTGCATGTTCTTTCACTTTAAAGGTATCTATTAAAATATATACACTGCACTTTCATTAATTACATTAATTTTATACATTTAATACATTTAATGTATTACATTAAATCTCATTAATAGTAAAACTTCTAATTCTTCACTATGAGGGTGGTGAGACACTGTCACAGGTTGCCCAGAGAAGGTGTGGCTGCCCCATCCCTGGCAGTGTTCATGGGGCTTGGAGCAACCTGGTCTAGTGGAAGGTATCCCTGCCCATGGCAGGGGGTTGGAACTGGTTGAGCTTAAGGTCCTTTCCAGCTCAAACTACTCTATGAAGAATCATGGAACATACAGATGAGTTGGATAAATATAGGACCTTTGGTTTGCTTTTCTACCTGTGTAGAAAGGGATGTTGAACTTTTTCATTTCTCTAAGGTTAAGTGCACCAGGAGTGTTGTGTGGTGGTGTGCAAATTCGCTATAATTGTCTGCCTTTCCCTACCCTTCCCCTAACTGGCTATCACTGTTCCCTGAATTCCAGATCTACAATGGTTAAATACTGAAGGTCCTATCTCTCTTCACAAAGACCTTTGTGGAAAAGTTGTGGTGTTGGATTTCTTTACTTATTGCTGCATCAACTGCTTGCACCTGCTGCCCGATCTCCACGCATTAGAGCGCCAGTTCTCTGATAAAGGTAAAAGTGCTTTGGCTTGCTTGGAATAGAATTTCCTGGCACTGTTGACGGTGGAGTAGCTGAGTCACTTTGTTGCTGGTTACTGAACAGCTGGCAAAATTTCAGGGGTGCCTAAAAATGTCTTCTAATCTTTTAAGTAGCCTAAAAAAGGTGACTGTGTGTACTCCCATTACATTTTTAAATGGGGTTAAATAAGGTATCTGTTGTGTCTGTATAATTAAAGAAACAGGATATGTGCTCAACCCCCAAATCTGATATCCTCATAAATAAGGCTCTTCGCAAAAAGCTACACAAGGATGTAAGATGTGGGTTCAAAGTTAATACGAGTATATAACCCTCTGCACTTGACTTAAGGACTAACTCTGAGAAGAATATAGATGGCAGAATGGATGCAGTTAAGATCACTTAGAGGTTTTTTCCATTCTAACGGAAATAACAAAATATGTAAGCTTGGTTTAGAAAGAGTTTTTTTTGCATTGGCATCAAGTTATGTATTATTAGTAGTCCTGTGTTCTGGAGAGGGAATTAAGCTTTCGAAAGTCACATCTGAAATGAAATCTTATCTCTCTCTTTGAGTGAATAAAAATATAGGGTAATTAGAATGCAGTCTGTTGTCATCATGATGACTTGACAGAGATAAGCTGTGGTCTTACACAGAATGTGTCAGCTGCTTGCTTATCTTGGATATTTTAATAGACTGAACAGTGAGATGAACAGTGTTGCTTTCAGACTAAAAATACTGTATTAAATATAACATATATATGCAGTTAAATTTCTGATCCTCCATTGGTGTTTCTGATTGGTTTTAATTTTGGCAGCATTTATTATTGCTGCCTTCTTTCACTAGAAAAAGAAATTAAAATGTCTTTGAAATTTCAAGTTCTTTAAGTAGTTCACTTATGTGCTGTAGGATTACATAGTGCTTGACAGAAGACTCAAACTAAATTTTCTGCCTTGGAAAGCTTAGCTGTTTGCTTTGGAGAAACTGGAGATCAGGTATAATGTTTCAGATATACGAAACTTTAATAAGGAAAACTCATGGCATTTTTTTGGGAGGGAGGCATTTTTAAGTAGAAGGTGATTTGCAAATTATAAATAGACTACAGTGGATACCAGCTGTGCTGGGAAGAAGGTGTAGATTTCAGAAGATGATATTGATCACATCATAAAGAATATCATTAAATTACAAACAATTTGTAGCATAGTGTTACTGTATTAGTATAGCTGTCATATCCTTAACCTGTTTTTTTAAATCAGTTGATAACAAAATACTCATAACAACCTGTCCCCACAAGCTTTCTCTTTAAAGTGTTTGAGCATCTCTTTCCTGGTGCAGAAGAGGCTGTAGCACTGTGAACTGAACTGAAGCTCCACTTGGAGACACATTTTTTTTTTGTTTGACTTGTATTAAACTTCCTGTCACAGGAGTTATTACTTGAGGAAAGTACTTTGCTGATAGGTGATAAATTCTTCTTGCATTTGAGCTATCCTGTTCCTACAGGAACCAGAGTGAGAAAAAAAAGATACTTGGGATGAAGGTGGAGGTAATAGGAAAGAAGAGCAGGTGTGTGGAACATTAATCTTTAATTTAATCCATTAGGAAACAGAGGATAGTAGTTGGATTCAGGAAGAGATTAAGGTGCTTGAAGGTTAAAACAAAAAGGTACATTGTTTTTTTTTCACTATAGATCTCCCTTTTGATTGTTTTCTGCTCTTTTCATGTTTTGATTCTCAGCAATTTCAGGATTATTTAATCTTTCTTTGCTGTGCTAAGTATGTGAATTTTAACATTACAGTAATATGCATAAATACATCAAGGTAGTAAGAGTTGTGGGGTTTTAAGCAATAGGAAAATACTTCAGCAGGTGGTATTATATTAACATGCATCTTCTACACCAAAGGTAAACATCATTTGCCAGTTACTAGGAGAAAGGAGGGAAGAGTTGTTGGCTTGAGAAACTCGAGAAAGATGAAAGTTGAAAGAATAAAACAAAAGTAGAGAGGATATTGGACATAACAGGAAGTATTTTAAGAATGTCTTCAGCCTTATTCTGGAGTTTCATTCTATTTTATTCTGTTCTTTATTTAATGGAAGTCCCTTCACTTTTGGTTGGGTTAGTTCTGAAATCTTAACCACCTTTTTGTGATAATAAAACTGATTTTGGCTCATCAAAAGATGATTTATTTTGGAAGCAGCGAGTCAATGAAATATATAGTGAAACTGCAGCTTTCCTGAACTTCAGATCTGTAAATATGGCATTTATTTACCCATTTCATGTATATATTTACCATGCTATAGAAGTGGCAGTGGGTTCTGACCTATCACACAATGTTAGTCAGAATGAAAACAAGCATCTGACAAAGCATCTATCTCATAATGCATTTGGCCTGTTTGACTATCTAAAGGAATGTTGCCTTTATTTGCTGCATAACTAAGAACAAACCTCAATACTGATGTAATATCATTTTTTGATTGTACATTGTGTATGTTCATTTCTGATACTCTGATTACATTGTTTTTCATGCTGTTCAAATACCCTCTTATGTGGAATATGTTGACATTTCAAGTGTGATCATCAGACATGAGAAGTCTGAACACAAGAAGCTCTATTTTTAGGGTGATCCTAAACCATTATATATATGTGTGTGTGTATATATATATGTCATTGTACATATGCACATAGTTCTGTTGTCTGGAACTTCAGGAGATTGCTTCAAAATGAAGACTGCTTTCCATAGGATTAAATGTCACCTAGCATCTTTATCAGATATGTTCTCGCTGCTATCTTCAGTGGTGCTATTCTTGTTTTTCAAGTGGCATTCAGGAAGTTATTTTAAACTCCAGTGCATATTCAGTTCATGTTATCAGCAGTCCAGAAATGACTTCTATAAGAGGGAGTACTTTTTAATATTCAGAAATAGCTTGGCCTAAATCCAGTGTTGTGCTCTGTTATAATCCTTTGAATAAAGTGTTTTAAATGGTGTGCATATTCTTGCATCTCAGCTTATCATCCATCAGTTTCCAGAAGAGCTTTCTTCAGTAGAGGATGTTATAACTTGTTTGTCCTGTTCAGGTGTTCGGTATAGAATTCCCTTTCTAGTTTTAATGGTGTTGTTGAAGGACAAATACAAATGCCGCTGCTGATCCTGTTACAGTTTAAATATTTGACCTGCTCTTTGAAGTACAGCAGTTCATGATACTACAACTTCATCTATCTGATACTGCAACATGCTGTGCATATAGGATTGATAAAGACTATATAATGGTCTTATAATTCTATATCTGTGAAATTCTTATATTCAGTTAAGTCTTTTATTGTGCAGCAGTTTATCCTATTGTCACATTGAAGTTTATGTTCTTCTCCATTAACACTGTTTTATGGTTGGGGAGGAGAGCTAAAAGAGAAAAATAATTTTCCATTTATTTGTAACTGAATAAAAAGCCAACTTGAGATTAAGTTAGGTTTTCTGGAAGGAAACAAACTCATCTGAGCTTAAATAATACAACTGTTTAAGACCTGTAATAATTGCCTTTCTTCCATTTCTGACACAAAAGCAGAGCTGAGGGTAGAACAGAGATGTCCAGCTGGCCAGATTGCACCTCTACTTTAAAGATAGGAGACAAGCATAAAGGTAAATACAACATTCTGTTCCAAACCATGTCCGTGGATGCAATTATTTGCAATTGTAAGTTTTTGGGCCCTGGTTCGGGCACTCTCTGGTCACAGGACTGGTTTCACTATTCTTGCAGTGTCAAACTCCACTTAGTCTTAATTGCAGAGCTTTTAGAGGACTGTTTTACAAAAGCATTTTATTTTGACGTATTTGCTTGAAGTTTTCTAAACAGTGAAGCCCTTTAATGGATCAGGTAGTAAATGCCAAATAACAGTAGTGATCTGATACGTAAATTTCCAGTTTAGAATGACGTGTGCGACACATAACAGTTGATGCCAAATGAATAAAATGTATTAGATAGGTGAGTTATCGCAGAAAGAAAAGCACACTTCTGATGGATTAAAAATTAAAATGCTAGAATGCTAAATAAATAAAATTATTTGATAAGGAGAAAGTTGAATTATGCAAGCTGAAAAAGTTTGTGTGTGGCTTTCGTTCTGAGAGCACTAATTACTAGATTTTGGTATCTACAGTTGCAACTGGAAGAATGAAGAGATGAAAACTGGGAAGGAGGGGTAATATGCTAGGAACTGTATGAAGCTAGAAGATGCGAAATAAATGTGTTAGCAAGGTGATTGCAAATATTCAGTTTGTGTTCTGGTTAGACTATTTTCCTGTTGTAAGAAATGGTTATATTTGAATGAGAGAAAAGTTGCCTTCTAAAAATTCAGGTAACTGAAACTTACTCCCAAGTCTTCTTAAAACCTTTCTGAGAAAACATTTATTTTAAAACTAGTCTTCTCCAGATGAGTGTCCTTTCAGGAAGGCTGTTTCTGTTGGCTGCTGTTCAGGATAAATATAACAATATTAGAGTAAGCACAAAGTGACAAAACTTGCTTACTTAGAGATGCGCATTGCATATCTGCCTTTATCCGTTATAACCGAATTATATCCTGCTTATCTAAATGTAATAGCTGTTCAGCCAAATCTATTTTGTCTGTTGTAGCACAATACAACATTTTCAATTGCAGTGAGTATGTGTATGAGCACAAATTAGTCTAAGAACCTTATGAAGTTCTTCAAGGTTCTACAGTCATATTTCAGAGTATAAGCATCATGAGAATTGGATCAGATTGGATAATGGCTGTTCCTCCTCCATGCCACTTTGTATGGACTCCAAGTCTTTGTTTTCTGGAATTACTTGTATGACTGAAAAATGCAGTACTGTAAGAAATCCACCTATAGACATTTGTGACTGTGTGAAGGAAGGAAACACCACAGATACTTGAATGGTACTGATAAAAGTGTTTACAAGTGCTAAATGATGTTATAGACTATACAATTTCTTACACTATGGTAAAATATAACTCAATTTGGGTATCAACTCTAGGGACATTTTCCCTTCCCATTTAATTTCAGTCCTCTCCTCCAAATAACAAAAAAGATCACATGAAAATTTGAAACTTTTACTTGCACAAAGAAATAGAAATATGCCAATTGTTATTTGTGGTTACAAAATGCTTGCATTTTCCAGAAACATGAGTAATATTTGGATAAGTAGTAAGGTTAATGTCTAAGCATTTCCACTAGATTGACAGTTCTGGTTTAAAATGATTGTACTGCATCTTTCTACAACTTCATGGTTACTATTGTTACCTTCCTTACTTAGAAGGTAAATTCTTAGTTCAGGTAGAATTGACAAGTTACTTCTACTATAACTATGCTTACAGCTAGTAGTGTTCTTCAAGTACAAAGTGAGAAAGTATGGTATTGATGTCATATGCACAGTTTACTTCATTTGGTGGAGATTATGCTAGTAAAACATAATTTAAAGCCCTGAAAAAGGTTGTAGTGGGTTTTGGTTTTGTTTATTTTCCTCTTTTTTAGCTCCTAGAAGGTACTGAAAAATGTCTTGTGACTGAAGAAAGGCTCTTAATTCTTTTTCTGTGGGGTAGGAAGGGGGAGTGGAAAATCTGGGGCTGCTTACATAATTGTTTACATTGGGGTGGAAGCAGATTTATTTCTCATTACAAGGGAAAAGCAGCTCAAGTCTGAGCCATAGATTTTTATTTCTGTGTTCAAATTTCATAAAACTAAGAAAATAAGCAAAGGATTGCTAATATGTATGCAGTGTATAGAAGCAGACTTACATTACTTCATGCGTATGGAACGCCTTCATACCAGGATTTTAAGTGCTGTTACCCTGATATTGGAAAATCTAAACTCTTCATTGTCTTTATTAACCACATATAGAAGTAAGTTAAACATTTTAAGGGGAGGTGCAAAAGTCAATGATTTAATCCTCTTTTGCTGCTTTTTTAATTGTGTTTTAAAGGAAAAGATTCAAGCCTTCCAGGTTTCTACCAAGTGCTATTTATCATTTTGTCACAGCTGTCAATGCTGCTATTTGAAATAGAAAATATGCTTTCAGAAGCCTATGCATTTTTGTTATTGTTTGAGTTAGATACACCAGGGTAACTCTGGGCTTCAGAGTTCAGTGTTACATTTGTGATTCCTAGTTAACTGTGGAAAAGAATTCATTTTCTAAAACACCGTAGTTGTATATAGGCATCGAAAGGCAAAGAGATGTCATAAACATCTGAAAAACCCCAAAGTATGTTAACTGCTACAACCTTCTCATAATTATTTTGAAAGTATTTTCTACCTTAGTAAGTAGAGGTTCAGAACTAAGAACAATTTCTGACATTAAATGTCAACCAGCTGGGGAAGTAATGGTCCTAAAGTTCAGTCATTTTACTGAGATGTTATTTCTGAGTTTCAGTATTTTGTCTACACAGCTATTTATAGTCCTACTGAGATGTAATTGCTTTTTGTTTGTTCAAACCCTTTTATTCTGGAAAGCAATCAGTCACATTGTGAGATAACTGTGCTTCAGTTTTACTTTTTATTCAACTACAAATATGTTGTGAATGCTCCATCCCTGGCAGTGTTCAAGACCAGGTTGGATGAGGCCTTGGGTGATACGATTTAGCGTAAGGTGTCCCTGCCCACGGCAGGGGGGTTGGAACTAGATGATCTTAAGGTCCTTTCCAGCCTTAACGATTCTATGATTCTATGATTCTATGTTTCAGTGCACGACTTTATTTTTCCTTTCAGATGGTCTTATTATTGTTGGAGTCCATTCGGCAAAATTCCCAAATGAAAAAGTTCTGGATAACATTAAAAGTGCCATTCTGAGGTACAATATTGTCCACCCTGTAGTAAATGATGCAGATGCAACCCTGTGGCATGAACTTGAAGTGTCCTGCTGGCCAACTCTGGTTATTTTGGGACCTCGTGGAAATATGCTCTTTTCACTTGTTGGAGAGGGACACAGAGAGAAATTGTTTTTATTTACTTCTGTAACACTGAAATTCTACAAGGAAAGAAGACAAATCAAAGATAACAAGATTGGAATAAAGCTATATAGAGACTCACTCCCACCTTCTCCCCTGCTGTTTCCTGGCAAAGTGACCGTGGATCATTCGGGAGAAAGGCTGGTCATAGCAGATACTGGACATCATAGGATATTGGTTACTCGAAAAAATGGACAAATTCTACACACTATTGGAGGTAAGGGTGTATACGTTTCTCACAGTAATTTTAGTTTAGGAGTAGAGGATGTTTGCTGGGCCTACTAGTATAATTACATATATAGCATAATATGAATTACAAAAAATACATTTTGTATTCTTATGAAAGTGTTGCAGGTGGGTTTAGAGTGACATACATCCACAACCAGCAGCAAGGTAGGGAAAAGAGAAGAGTAATGTGTCCCTTTCCAGTAGAGGACATGAATGCTCAGTTGTGGTGGTGGTGGTGTGTGGGGAAGTTTTTGGTGTGTGTTTTTAGGTTGGTTGTTGTTTTTCTTTAAATGAAGAGCATTCCTGTATAGGATTTTGGAGGAAGGGAGAATTACTAAGGGCAGTGACACTGCGCTAATACATAGGCACCTGAAAATGAAGTTGCTTTAGCGTATGTGACAAGACCTGTTTTGTCACCAAAACTGAGGTGTAACATAGAAACAAGTATGAAAATAGTGGAAGTATTTGCATTTAGCTACATTTGTTACCAAGTTTATATTGGTAACATTTCAGCTTTAAAAACTTAATCTCTTTAACTGATTTTATAATATTACTATCTACTTTACATTCTTCGTACGCTTTACTCTTTCAGAAATGAAACATTCAGATTTGTTCCTTTTCAGAATCTATTACAGTGGTAGAAGTTACATCTTAATGCACCAACTACATAGCTGTCAGGACAGTCCAGTTATGAACAACCATAACAGACAAATGTAGGAAGTGGTTGAATCCCCAGATAATTGACAACAGTGATTCATTTATGTCTCAGAATCAGGATCTGATAGGTCTTATATTACTGAGTTTGGTATTGACTAATGCCTGTTCTGTGGCAGCATACTGAAAACCTCATAAAAATAACCAGTAGCACTGCTGCTTAAAGAAAGGAATAAAATCTCTTTCTATTTGAAGTAACAGTGTATTGGATAAGCAGAGGAGTTACCCAAGTTAACCTGATAAAGGCGTTAGTCTTAATACCCTTCTCCTATGGGAAGTACCAACAGGATTTCTATGACAAAAGTGAGAGAATTTGGTTTCTGTTTCATATGTGAGATAAGTCTCCAGCAACAAGCTACCCTTTAGTGTTCTGGGATAGTCATGAAATAGCAGTTCAGAGGGAAGTATCCTAACCTCTGAACTGGTACCCCCGCTTCATGTGGCACTCTGTACTTTTCCCTTCCCTGGGGGTGTGCACCCTGACGCTTAGAAGAGTAACTGCTGGAATCTGACCACGCCAGTACCTCAGTCCTTTGTGTCTGTTAAGGTCTAAATTGTCTTCTGACAGTAGGTTCTGGAAGTTTATTTCAGTGACTCAGTTAAATGATTCAGTGGGCAGAAAATAATGTAACAAAGTTGATAATACAGTAACAAATGTGGGCAAGCACAAAGGTTGAAATTAGTATATTTGCATCATAAATCATGATGCACACATAACTCAATACCTAAATGTCTTCTGCTGAGACATACTGCTAATGCACTTTAAGTGTTACTCCCGCTGATACACAGTGCTTAACTTCATACTGTTATATTCAGGTCAAGGTCCTTTCTATTTCTTGACGGTTCTGTGTAGAACACTGTCACTCCATCATTCTTACTATTCTTTTATGTAGTCTGTTCCATCGTATCTTTTTCCTAATTGTTGCTAATGAGAAAATGCTGCTAATCAAATATTAGTTTCATTTATGATAACACCAAAATCTAAACCACTGAAAATGAGTTGAGTTTGGGAAATTAAAGTTTTCCCTGCTGACTTGATTTGATGTAGTTGGGAATGAAAAAAGAGGTAGTTCTTCTGTCTTGTGTTGTTGCTATTATCCTTTAGTGCAAGAGAACAGGAACAACTTAAACCCCTCTCAAGACTTCTCTTTTGGCTCCTTTTGGTCATGCTCTTTTGATGCAGCCCAGGATATGGTTGGCTTTCTGGGATGTGAGCACACACTGAAGCCGGCTCATGTTCATTTTCTCATCAACCAACACCCCCAAGTCCTTCTCTGCAGGGCTGCTCTGAATCTCTTCTCCACCCAACCTGTAGCTGTGCCTGGGATTGCCCCGAACCAGGTGCAGGACCTTGCACTTGGCTTGGTTGAACTTCATGAGGTTGGCATCGGCCCAACTCACAAGCATATCAAGGTTCCTCTGGATGGCATTCCTTCCCCCGGCACATGAACTGCTCCACACAGCTTGGTGTCATCAGCAAACTTACTGAGGGCGCACTCAATCACACTGTCCGTGTTGCTGACAAAGATATTGAGCAAGATCGGTCCCAACCCCGATCCCTGAGGGACACCACTCGTTACTGGTCTCCAGGCAGACATTGAGCCATTGACCACAACTCTTTGTGTGTGGCCATCCAGCCAGTTCTTTATCCACCGAGTGGTCCATCCATCAAATTGATGTCTCTCCAATTTATAGACAAGGATGTTGTGTGGGACAGTGTCAAACGCTTTACACAAGTCCAGGTAGATGACATCAACTGCTCTACCCCTGTCCATCAGTCCTGTAGCCCCATCATAGAAGGCCACTAAATTGGTCAGGCACGATTTCCCCTTAGTGAAGCCATGCTGGCTGTCACCAAGCACCTTGCTGTTTTTGTTGTGCCTTAGCATGCCTTCCAGGAGAATCTGCTCCAAGATTTTGCCAGGCACAGAGGTGAGACTGACTGGTCTATAATTCCCTGGGTCATCCATTTTCCCCTTCTTGAAAATGGGGGTTATATTTCCCTTTTTCCAGTCATTGGGAACTTCACCTGACTGCCATGATTTTTCAAATATGGTGGCCAGCGCTTTGCAACTTCATTTCCCAGCTCCTTCAGGACCCCTGGATGGATTTCATCAGGTCCCATGGGCTTGTGCACATTCAGGTTCCTAAGATTATCTCAAACCTGATCCTCTCCTGCAGTGGGCGAGTAATGTGAACTGTACATGATGCTGTGAAAGCACCTCTTAGAATGTGTAATTTTTTTACAAGTTTAAATGTATAAACTTTGGGTTTGGTTGGTTGGTTGTTTTGTTTTATTTTTTATAAAATTACATTTGAGTTTGCTTTGTTTCATTTATAGGTCCAGACAGTGGAAGAAGAGATGGAAGATTTTCAGAGGCAGCTTTCAACTCGCCACAAGGGATTGCTATAAAAAAAGATATTATTTATGTAGCTGATACAGAAAATCACCTCATTAGAAAGGTAAATTTTCTGCAAGGAAATTCAAAATTTAATCTCTCATCCCTTATTCTACTTACAGAGGTGAATATTTACACTAAATTACTTACTCTGATTATTTACTCTTTGAATTCCCTCAACATTGGGAAGGAAATTCAGCACAGTATCTTATAAATAAATGCTGCTGTGCAGTTTGTTGTTTAAAGGCTACATATACTTTTGTGCTTCCTTCCAAATGAAGATGGTATACATTACTTGCTGCAACATATTTGATTTTGTTTTTCCTAGTGACTCTTGCTTTCCTGTTACGAGAAACATCTATTCTTAGTACTACAACAAAATAGTTTTTATTTCACTTCCAGTAGTATCTGATTCTTATCTAAAGTTATTGTACTACTGTGGTTCACTGAGTATCTAAACTTCAATTAGCTGTTTGGGTCTCTAAAGTACATACAGGTAACTGCTGTAATACCAGAATTGTCTGCATGTGGAATTTTTGTTTTATTAAACACTTATTTTAGCTTGATTTAGGATGTAGGAATGATACTTTCTGTATATAGTCATTGGATATTACATTTGGTTAGGTCAATTTTAGAGTAATAAGAAGTTAAATTTGTTGAAGCAATGTAATATTACCTTATTATGAAAAGTATTTTATTCATCTCAGAAGATCTTCTGCTCTGAGAAGATCCTCACTAATGTGTCTGATAATGATCAGAGGAGGTACATCCTTACTCAGTTTGAAGTGCCTTTGTACTGTTAAGCAGGCTCATTGTGTGTTTCACTTCCAAAGCACTTGTCCACTAGCTCCTTGTAAAGTATTCATTGGAGTTGGCTACCAGGTTTTATTCTGAAAATGACCAAGGCTCCCAGTTGCTAGAGAAACATTGTGTATTAAAAATGAGCAGTTTGCTCCAGCGTCCTCATCTTACAGACACTCATCACTGTAGCATGGTGACCACAGGATATGAACTGTTGCAGGTAGCAAAGACAGCACAGAAACATCTGAAGATCAGTATCATACCGCATCTGCATTTTTGGTGATAATTAGCTTTTCCCTTTCATCTAAATGTGCCATGAGGGTATCCGTGACTTAATAGAATAAACAGCAATAGGCCATGCATTCAAATGCTTGTGCAAGCCATGGGCCTTGCAGAAAGTGCATTTACTGCTACAAAAGTTAGAAGATTCTGTGTGTGAAAGACTCCTTTTTTACATGATCATCATGATAAATGCATGAGCACTATTGGAAGTCACTTCGAAAATAAGCAAAAGGGAAAGAAAAATAAAGGGATTTAAGCTGCAGGAATTAAATCTTTTTTCCCCTAAGGCATGAAATGAACTGTAAAAATAATTTGCTTTGTACAAATTAAATGAGATAGGAGATACTGTTACAGTATCTGAATTTCTGTGTCATAGTCCTATAGAAGTTTAAATTAAAACATCCACATCCATCGTCTGAGTATTTCTTTAGAAAATTTTGGTGCTTGCTTCTGCAACTGCGGGGCAAACCTTGACAAAACAGTGTTAATTTTTGTTGAAGAGAATTCCAGGCTTCTGGTTTTCCTGCTGCTTCCTGCCCCCATCAGCTAGCATTGTGGTAAAATTCATTATCTTCCTACATTTGTTAGGATTTTTTTTTATTTGTCAGCAAAATCTCTGGTTTTGACATCTAGCTCAAATTGTAACTTCTGTCAAGTTAATTTTGTACATTCAGTGCGTGTAATTTTGTTCCTTGTAGATTGACCTGGAGTTAGAGATGGTGACCACTGTAGCAGGCATTGGGATACAAGGTGTCGATAAGGAAGGTGGAGCAAAAGGAGAAGAACAGCCTATCAGCTCTCCATGGGATGTGGTCTTTGGAAATTCAAGTACTGTATCACTTGAGCTGTTAACATCTCATATTTACACATGCATGTCTGTTTGCTAAATATTTACCTGTTTTGGTAATAATCTGAGATAGGAAAAAGTAAAAATTCACCTTACAACTGAGTCTGAAAAACACTGGTTTCATTTGCAAGTAAGACTTGCAGTTCTACTTTGGATCCTGAAGGAACATGAGCTGTTACTTGATGGCAGAAAAATTCTTTTGTAGTGAGCTATATGGTTACTGGGTCCAAATACAGGAGGAAATTGTGATTGCTTTTGTTAAGCCAGTGCTTTTTATGCCAGGATCACTTAAGCAGCTACATTTTACAGGAAGTGAGCATTGTCTAGAAGTTCCTTTCCTTGACTATACAGACATGTTTGACCACTTGTAAATATTTGAGTTTAGGAAATAAAAGTAATTTTAGTTCGAGGCCTCTGTTTATTCCTGTTTAGGTGACATAAAATCATTAGATTCAAGATGATGATAGAGTCAATCAGGTAGGAGAGGAATACCTCAAAAAAAACCTTGCAAGCATCAATGGTAGGAGTGAAATCTTGCATAATGGGATGCAAGAATCAGCTTCTGAAGGTTTAAGTAGCTTGCTTTCCTGATTCACATAGCACACACCTGAGCTTGACATCACATAACTGCCATGTTTCAACTAACTGTGAGTTGATTCTTTCTTTTTTCATGTTTCCATTTAACTATAAATCAGGGGTTGCAGACATCAGTTTTGAACAATGACAGTGCAGTGCTTTAGTGTGAAATAAAACCCTTAGGTCACTATTTCAAACATAAAAATTGACTTCCAAAATTGGGATTTCTCGAATCGCAGATAATGGGTTGGGGAAGTATCATGATTTAAGTTAAATAGTTTTAAATTAGAAATGCTTTGCAAAATCAGTAAATGAGAATATTTTACTGACCTGGAAGCATTTGTTATAATCTTGGGTCAGTTATAAGAGAGGAAAACACACTCAAGTTTAAGGAAACATGAGGCTAGCTGATACAGATGTCTTCTCATATAGCTTGTCAGTATAGGCATTGTGCCACCAGCAGCCTTGACTACTTAAATAAGCATCTGTCATTAATTTTTAGATTTAAAACTTTTAATAACATGTCTTCCACATAAAAGTGAAATGAAAATAAATTAAATTTTACAAAGGGCACTTTATCCCAAATTCTTTGCCAATGACCCTTACAATTTGTGTTGAGCATATGGATTTCTACTTGCAAGAGGAAGTAGGAGTACCTGAATTTCACTGGATGTGGGTTGGTATTAATGAAGGCATGAGTTTACCTGAATTTTATCCAATCTGATTTTCCTTTTGTCAGCCAGTAGACTGTTGTTTGACTAGCTGGTATAGTTTTCAGGGTGTCTTGAACCAGCAAGCTGATTTCTATGAGATGTTATGCAGAGCTCTTTCGCAGATCAGCAAAGGAGGAAACGAGTAACTCATCAGTGCTTCAGAAACCTCAACTGGTTAACAGAACTATTCAAAATAGCCTGTAATTTTACTTTTCATGATGCTTTCTTCTGCTTTTGCCAGTAGTTTAATTTCTGTTGATACTTTCTGTTTTTGAGAGCTCTGCTTGTTAAATGTTAATTGATAGGATTGTTATCAACATGAGCATAGTAATCACTGAATGATTCACCTGTAGAGGATTAGTCATCTGCACTCTTCAACACTACTGAATTTTTATCAGCATTTACGTAAAAATCTGATCTTCTGAACACACTCTCTTCAGACCAGTAAAATCTTTTCCAATAACCTACCAGTGAATTGTCTATTTAGAGCTCTACAAAATATAACCTGTCACTTACAAAGAGATTAAATCAATGTAAATTCCTTTTTTGAGAGGGTAATAGGCCAAAGAGATGAAATGGGGCTGGGTTGTGTGTTCCCAGATTCTTTTTAAGACTTTTTTTAATATGGTTTTGTGTGGGTAAAATAAGCAAGGAAAAATGTAAATATCTGTATTAGCTATATAAAATTCCTTAAAAAACTATAACCAGAGAGATATGTCAAAACAGGGGATTATACTGATTAAAATGCTGACAGGAGTGTGTTGCAGAGTATGAGGAGCCAAAGCTGTGTTTTGTAATCTGCAATGGATTTGTCTTACAGCATACATCCTGTCATGAGCTGCAGTGCCTTCTTTAAGTGTTTTGCCAGCCATCAAAATAGTTTGTCAACACTGCAGCAGAGTTTGTCAAAGTTGTGTTGTTACTGCAGATTGCTTGAACCTAGTAGCGTCTTCTGTTACTATCCCTTATACTATGGATAGTATGCATTAGTTGTTCAGTAAATGTAGAAAATCTTCAGTTTTATAGGAAATCTTCACTCTCCTGGGCACACACCCAGCCTTCTGTTGGTGATTCTCAGTGTGCTGGCTTACAAGTAGATACCCTGCTGTCATATGCTAAAACTGGCATGCCAGTTGTCTGTGTGTGCATATGGATGGATGAAATAATTGATGAGAGTTTCAGAAATTGCTTTGGTTCAGATCCACATAGCACACATTTTTTACATGTGTTTATATGTGTCTCTGTGCAAGTTACAAAGTGTAGTGGACACTTCAGCAACACAGGTGTGTTATTGCAGTAAGTTTGACTTCTGTGTTAACTGGTGTGGCATATGGGAAATAACACTATACTTTCCTGTTTTCCTTAGAGCTGTGTAGTTTACACAGTGTACAAGAAGCATATTTTTCTTTTCAGAAGATAGATGTATGGATTTTATACATTTTAAACAAGTGATGCTTTTGTGAGTTTCCTTTCAACATCCAAAAGCCATGCTATCCAGAACATGAAGGGGAGAAAAAAAGGAGTTTAAATGTTTAAGCTGTTTATGTACTACACTAGGTAGTCTTGAACAGTTCATACTACCTTCCTCAAAGTCTCAAAGGGAAAGGTTACCTCTTAAGAGAAAATTCAGTATCATTTATATTTCTTGACATTTCTTGTATTTGCTCCTAACACAGTTTAGACTATGTGTTACAGTATCACAAAATGGTTGAGGCTGGGGATCATCTGGTACAACCTCCCTGCTCAAGCAGGGTCACCCAGAGCACATTAGTCTCCAGCGTTGTCTCCAGACAGCTTTGAATATCTCCAGGGAGGAGACATTTTAAAATGTGAATTTATAGTTTGTTGTGAAATTAAAAATATTGAAGGGGAAAAAGTTTATGAAGGCACATATAAGTTAATATGCAGAACAGATACTACTAAGTAGCATGCTTTTAAGCATCCTTATATTATTTCCATGAGATAATAGGCTTTTGTTTCCCCATTTTATACAGATGCTGAAGTCTGAGGCAAAGAGGTTAAGTGACTGTGAATTACCCTTTAAAAGAAAGTTGGCACAAGTCTCTTTAAGGTAGGGGAGTTAATGGAGATAAAACACATGCTAGGATTCAGGCAGACAGTATTCTTCCTTGTTATTTATTTCTTTAGTTGTGGCCACTGAGCTTGCGTTTTACCCTTCACTTTTAAAATTCTTGAATGAACTCTGTGGATTTGTTGAAGTTGGTGCTGAAGTTTGCACTGATACAGATTGTGCAGGAAATACAGGGGAGGGCCAGCAGCTTAAAAATACATCATTAAATTACTCTCTGCTTTTTTAGCTTTCTCTGTTGTCCCTTTCTATTTTTATTCAGTGGGTGTTGAAAGCAAGTGATATTTAAATGCACAGTTGATCTGAGCGTGAAATGTTCTTGATAGCTGCATTCTTGCTGGTAGGAACAGGACAATGGCCTGCTCTTGGTGACACAACTGTGTGATCCACATTCCAAAATCTGGTCTTAAATTGCATGATTGTAATCTATTTATAGCAACTCCCAAGAACAGTGTTGACCATGCTTTCAGTAAACGTGTTGGAAATTTTTACGTCAATTTAGGTTTTACATAGTTATTATTTAAATGAAAGTACTGTATCTTATCATACTGCTACAATTTTTATAGCCCTTAAAAGGCAAAAGTATGTAAGATTATTTTTTTCTCTCCGAGTGTCTCTGCTTGAGGGTTATTTGGTACCACCGCATTCCAGAGGAAAACACTTCTTTTTCTGAATTACTTATGGTGATTCTTCCTCAATTTTGCAAAGGAATAAAGCAATAATTACTTCAGCAATAAGCAGTTCCCACCTCCTGGATGAGCTCACACCATATATGAACTGTTTATGTCTGAACTGTCTGTATCTTAAGAGTATGCTTTCTACATGTTGCCTTTCTTTCACCGTCTGGGTTGGTCTCATTCTGGCATTGAGGCTCTGGCCTTCACTATCCTGTGAAAGGAATTTTCCTTGGTAATAGCTGAAAATTAAAGAACTGCTCTTGTAATCATCAGAGATTAGTTATGTATCATTTTTTTGTGGCCAGCTCAAAACTTTGAGTTACTCTAAATGTGTGCTGTGTAATATGGCTGCATGGTATAGCAATATAGAGAATTTGAATGCAAAAAGCCTTTGCATCTCTTTAGAAGTTTCCTATGCAAAGTATGAACTCAGAAATACCCCATTCAGCTTTGGGCTGCATCTCCCTTGAAGTTCACTTCCACAGAAAATTGTGTTAGAGACATAACTGACATGAAACAGCATGGCCTGACTTCTCGTAGTGAACTAGATCTTAAATTTATTTGTAAATGGTAATTATTTTTATTTTAAATATTTGGCATTTCAAAGAAAAAGTATCTTCTTCATTGACGATAGGCCTGAAGTAAAATGAAAAACTGATTATTTTATTCCTGTGTGAGAACTGTTTGAGGAGAAAAAGTCTTTTGAGTAATGTGACATTAAGAAGTTACAGCAAAGGACTGCAGTGAAGCAAGACATTACCCAGTCTTGCTCTGGGAGGACTTCTGAAGCACACTGTTTAATTCTAGATGCTGTCTGAGTGGGTCAACCATCTTCATACTGTGGGCAGAATCATGGAGAGGGACAAATAAATGTGACTGAAGTTTCCACATGTGCTAGCGCAATCTAGGTATGGGTTCTGTGAACC